CTGGCGTCTAATAGGGCTTGCCCAAGGCATTATATTAACGGGGATATCCCCAGGAAGACGTCGACCTTGAAGACCGGCTCCGATATGACTGCCCCTCTCTCCTCCTCCACTCCGCCCGACCCCACGTTCCTCTCCGTTGCCATGGTGATGGTGGAGAAAGTCCGATATCATACTGGTGGAATTGGATTTCTTCATAATTTAAAGACAGAGCTTAGGGTGAGAGTAATGGTGGTTTTCTATCTTCTTGACTGGGATTGCTTTAATTGCGAGTGGGCTCCGTCTATACTGAGAAGAGAGAGATAGAGGGACGTTGGTAAGTGATAAAAATGGTCTCCTTTACCTTTTTGCAAGGAGGGAAACTTGCATTCAAGAGAGGAAGGATTCTAAGGAAAAATCATACACAGTCATGTACACAATAAGGAGTGATGGGCGCGGATAATTATTAAAATGGGCGGAGTTGTAATAACCACAACGAAGGTGTGGTTTGTTAATTAAAATAGGCGGAGCTTGAAAGGTTTTAATAAGCAGGAGGCGTGTTTTGTAATTTTAATTTAATTTTTTGGCTTTTTTTTCGGGCGCCATGTTTAGTGTTTTAGTTGTAGTTCTTGTTCTCCTGTGCCCCTCTCTCGTTTCAAGTGATGAACATTCTCACAGAGTAAGAGAACAACCGACAAAAATGATAATTTATTCCGACATATACAAAATATAACTTGTCTTTTTCTCTCTTCTCCCTCTCTCCCTCCTTCTCAGTACACAGACGGTGAAGAGGTGGTTTTATGGATGAACACCATCAGTCCTTATCACAATAGACAGGAGACGTATCGTTATTTCTCTCTCCCTTTCTGTCGTGGACCAAGACACGATATATCTCATCATCATGAGACTCTGGCTGAAGACCTCCAGGGGATCGAACTGGAGTATAGTGGAATCGATATCACCTTTAAAAGTAATATTATTACTATTTTATTTATTACTTATTATTATTTTTTCTTGTATCATGAATAATTACAGCACCTTAATACATGTACATGTGCCATTTCATAAAAACGCTTTGAATTTCTAATCGTGGAAATTCAGTTTTGTAATTTTTCTGCTGCAAGCTTAAATGGAGAGTATTTATTTAATAAATGTAAATAAATGATAATTTACTAGAGTAAAGTCACAATCATATTTTGAAAAAATATATGTACATTAGAACTGTATTTATATTGTAAATGTATAATACTGTATAGTTGGAAATTTTGAAGGAACTAAAATTTGGCGAATTGCTAAATTTTGGTGACTGGCAAATTTTAATTTGGCAAATTTGTGGCCACGTGCCATTGAGCATGCATATAATGGCTCAAAATGGCGGATTTTATTCTGGCGAATAGCTATCAAAACACGAAATTCGCCAAAATTAATTCCCTCGAAAATTTCCCACTATATGGTAATATGCCGTACTAATTAATATAAATCATGTACATGGAAGAAATGTATTCTTAGATAGTGTTTCTTGAAAGGCATTAGTTATATTCTTTATTACGTTTCTGACTTTCTGTCATCTTCTCTCTCTCCCTCAGATAATATAGAGAAGATGGTTTATTGTCAAGTGACTGTTAATGATGTTGTTTTGAAAGCATTCACTTACGCCATAAGGAACCAATACTCATATCAAATGTATATTGGTAAGGATAATGATAATGGTGAATTATTGATCCTCTCTCTCTTCTCTCTCTCGTAGATGACTTGCCTATATGGGGTAAGTAAGTACATATATACATGTACATGTACAGGGTTCTGCCTAGAATAAGATTAGAGGTGGTTGGAGATTAATATTGTTCCTTTTAAATTTATGTACACCATACTAGTAGACTACAATATCATGCTTTATGTATGGCTATTAGTATTAATTGGATGGTTGGTCTAAGTGATGAACTGGTTTGTTCATTTGTTGAGGTGGTTGTCCCGACCACCCCCAACCACCATAGGCAGACTATGTACATGTACATGTACGTGCTTTTTTGCATAAAACTGAAATATAATTTCATGTAAACCCTCCTCTTCCATTAGGTATTGTTGGTGAGTTCACTCCTGAAGGTGATGATGATAATAAAAAAGAAAGTGAAGTATTCATTTACACACACAAGAAGTTTGATATTGGCTATAATAATGATCAGGTGAGAGTTTATTAAGCACATGTACGTTGTAAATGTAATGGATGAATGTTAGCAAAAAATATCAATTTAAGAAAATTAATTATAGCCCATAAATTGGCTGGAAAATCATCCCCAATATTTTCTCATACATATTGATATCCCTTATGCCAAAAAAGCAATGGATCTAAAAAAAATCATGAGTTACCCCCAAGATACATGCACATTGTACATATACGTGCATATACTGTATAGCCGGTAATTTTGTGGGTCCTATAATTTTCGAAATCTACTAAATTTTCAATTTGTGGATTATACTTTTGTGAATTTTACCACGTGTGTCATGCAGGTACTGTATTAAATTGATTTTTGTGGATTTTATTTTTGTGAATCAGAAAGGAATCCACAAAATTTGCAACCCTCGAAAATAACCACTGATACTGTACATACACATTATATTGCCAATCATCAATATTTAATTTCTCACCAATTTTTATAAGATAATATCAAACAATTTTTGTGTACATGTATTTACATGGTATCGTAGTGCCCACCTCTAATTAGTACCAGGCCTAGTACTACAAACAAGTAAAAGTGAAAGAAATACTAAAGGCTATCATACATGGGGCAACATTGTTGCATGCAACTTTGTGCTTACTTTGATCTTTGTTGCCTCAAGTTGACCACTGTATTATACATGTGTTTATTAATTATTTTAGATAATTGAAGTCAATTTAACGAGTGAAGTGAAGAAGCCTTTAGGAGAAGGTGATGTCCTTGACTTCAGTTATGAAGTGAATTGGAAGAAATCAACGATACCTTTCAACAATAGGTTTGATAGATACTTAGACCCATCCTTCTTCCAACACAGAGTAAGGGAGAGAATAATAATAATAATAATAATAATAATAATAATAATAATAATAATAATAATAATAATAATAATAATAATAATACTTAACCTTTGTATTTTAATGTACCATATAGTGGGAAATTTTTGAGGGAATTAAATTTGATGAATTGGCATTTAGATATCCATTCACCAAAATAGAATCTGCTAGTTTGAGCCATTATACACATGCTCAATGGCACATGGCCACTAACCACATTAAAACTCACCAATTGCCAAATCTTAGCAATTCTCCAAGTTTTAACTCCCTCTAAAATTTCCCGCTATAGAGGGTATCTTTTTTAAAATAATAATAATAATATGATTGATATTAGCTATTTAGTATTGTACTACACAATTAATTATGTATTTACATGTACATGTATCTGGCATGGAAAATTTTAGTGAACTTAACATCCTGTGGCCATTGGCCAAATTTCCATAAAGTACATGTACTGTATGTATACATGTACATTTACATGTACATGTACAGCCGGTAATTTTGGATGTGGTAATTTTTACACATGAACATGTACGTGGTTACTTTGATCTGGTACATGAAATGATGTAAGTACCGTATTGCCAGGAATGAATCAGATTTCTTTTCTTGGAACATACATGTACATCTACATGTAATATGTACTTTTAGAAGATCAAAGTAACCATAAAGTTTCTATTATTGTTTTTATAATTTACATGTATGTGTACATGTACCACTCAGCCTTTACTTATCTAGTGCAGTTAGTGCAAGGTACACACGTAGCACCTGTATCGTGTATTTATCACGTAATGTATCTTATCACGTTCTGTGGTGCACGAGTCTATTGTAGTGTGAGTCTATTGTAGTGTGAGTCTATTGTAATGTACTTGTGTAGCCTTGTGCTGGAGATCACACATGTAAAAGTCAAGTTATAGCTGAGCGGTACTGTATGTGTTATTGTTTTCAACTTTTCATTACATTTACATGTACTTATAATATACAATATTGTTGATATTGTGATTGCTATTGTTTATCCACATATGTACATGTACATGCATGTAATAAGTGTCTCTTTTTGCTATGATATTCATCTTTGATTTGTCGTATACTTACATGTACTTACATGTTTAGGTACATGTACATGTATACATGCATGTACATGTACATGTTGTTGATGTTATTGTTGCTATTGTTTATCCACTTGTTTAGATCCATTGGTTTTCAATATTCAATTCCTTCATGATGGTCATATTCCTTGTTGGGCTGGTTACTATGATACTCTTAAGAACTCTCAGACGAGATTATGCTCGATATTCTAAAGACCTTGAACCATCGGAATTAGTAAGACACACCCACTTCCTGAAAATATCCTGTACTATAGCTCATAATTTTTCCAAAAAATGGCTCCGAAATTACTCCCAATTTTTATTACATTTTCTGATACATATTGATGTCCTTAAGCTGTGTAGAAAGTTTGAGCTGATTCCGACTTCAAATTTTAAAGTAACGGCCTTTTTAAGAAAATGCCAAAATTTTGAAAAGTACCCAAGGCTATAATAGCCCATGGTTTTTTCCAAAAAATGGCTCCAAAATTACCATCAATTTTTATTACATTTTCTGATGCATATTGATGTCTTTATGCTGTGTAGAAAGTTTGAGCTGATTCCGACTTCAAATTTTAAAGTTACAGCCTTTTTAAGAAAATGCCAAAATTTTGAAAAGTACCCAAGGCTATAGCCCATGGTTTTTTCCAAAAAATGGCTCTGAAATCACCCCAAATTTTTATTACATTAAAAAATACATATTGATGTCCTTAAGCTATGTAGAAAGTTTGAGCTTTTTCTGAATAGAATTTTTTGAGTTATGGCCTTTTTAAATAAAAAAATTATATGCTTTTTGTCCCAATACAAGCTAGCTACCACATTCTTTATTATTATTATTATTATTATTATTGCTAGGAGCGTGATTTAGGTGATGAATACGGTTGGAAGCAGATCCATGGAGACGTGTTCAGGCCTCCATCATATCCAGTGATATTCACTGGACTAATAGGAACAGGATATCACCTAATGTCTGTCTCACTGATATCAATAATACTAGCAGTACTGGGCCACCTCTATACACAGTAAGAGGCTATTGATAGGTGATACATGTTAAGATATATGTACTTGGTACATGTACATGTACATGTATTTTAATGAAGCATATAATTTCTGCCTGTAATTGACAACAGGTACCTTATGGCGGATAATTAAATTCATCTTAATAGCGAAAAAAATTCAACTTCCTGTGCTCCATTGATAATGAAATTTTAGCACAAGATGCAAAAAGCTACTGTGTAACTTTCGCATTTCTAATAGAACACACAAATTGATATTTTTGATATTTTTGCAATAAATTTAATAATCCACCAAAATAGTACATGTACCTTTTGTCAATCATAGTAACATTTATTAATGATTATAATGTTATCCTTATTAGTATTACTATTTATTCATTGTATTTTTAGTCGTGGTAGTCTCCTCAGTACTGCTATATTTGTATACGCTATCACTAGTCCAATATGTGGATTCACTGGTGGCTCACTGTACTCTAGATTTGGAGGTAAGACTGACCACACAACACCCCCAACACATTCGTAATCTATACTTAACCTTATATGTATCATTCTCCTTCTCTTTCTCTCTCTTATATTCATTTTACCCTCTCCATCTCTCTCTCTCTCCCTCCCTCCCTCCCTCTCTCCCTCCCTCTCTCTCTCTCCTCCCTCTCTCCCTCCCTCCCTC